CGGCTTCTCCGCTTCTTGCTGCTGCTGCTGCTGCAGAGACTCAAATTGAGTCTGTTGGCTACCTTCTAAGGCAGTAGCAGCAGCCGCAGTACGAGCAGCAGCAGCAGCAGCAGGAGCAGCAGCAGGAGAAGCAGCAGCAGCAGCAGGAGCAGCAGCAGGTGCTTGAGTCGCTGCTGCCGCAGGATTTGGCGCCTCACGGGGGGGCATCGCCGCTCGTCTTTCCGTTGCTGCTGCTGCTACTGCTGCTGCGGCTGCCGCTGCTGCTTGAGTTGCTGCTGCGGCTGCTTGTGCAGGCGGAGGGGGCGGCGGGGCTGCTGCTGCTGCCGCTGCAGCCGCTGCTGCTGCTGCTGCTGTTGCAGCTGCTTCCGGTGTTTGCTGGAACTGCCGCTGGTGGTCTATGAACATCTGCAGCCGCGTGTCTCTCAGCTCGTTTTGCTGCTCCCTCATTTGCTGCTGCTGCTGCACCTCACTGCCCATTTGCTGCGCCGTGTCCTCCTGCAGCAGCTCTGCAGCAGCACAACACAAGACACGCAGCAGAAGTAAGGCTTGTGTTGCTGCTGCTGCTTGTGGCTGGGGTGGGTCCAGCGCTCACTTTGTCCTTCCGTCACTGCAGCAGCTGTTGCTGCTGCTGCTGCTGCTGCTGTCGGAGAGCCATCTGCTGCTGCTGCTGCATGCACTACTCCAATCCAGCCCTGAATAAACCTAATAGCTGAGTCCACAGTTAGGGGCTTTCTTAGTTCAAGAGGTTCTATTGCGTAGGCTGCTGAAGCAGCAGCAGCAGCTGTTGCTGCTGCTGCTACTGCTGCTGCTGTTCTTGCGCTGCTGCTGGATGAGCCCTCAGCGCCGCTTGACGGGCGGGCGAGCTGCAGCGGCGGCACCTGCTGCTGCTGCGGCTGCTGCAACTGCTGCTGCTGCTGCTGCTGCTGCTGTCGAAAGGGGGCAGCTACAGCTGCTGGAGCTGCTGCTGCCTGCCAGCGCAGTGAGGAAGGGCATTCTAGCTGCGGCAGCTGCTGCCGCTGCTGCTGCTCGTTCAGGCATTGCTGCAGCAGCACTGCGCTTTTGCTGCTGCTGCTGCTGCTGCTGCTGCTGGCTGTCGCTGGCCGCTCTAGCGAGGCTAGTGAAGGGGCAACCCTAGCTTTACTAAGTGACCACAGTGCCGTATGCGAATGCTTCAATTGCTGCTGCTGCTGCAGCATCTGCTGCTGCTGCTGCTGCTGCTGTTGCTGCTGCTGCTGCTGCTGTAGGGGCTTGCGTGGAGACACGCGGCGGCGACGGTCGGCTGCTGTTTGCTCACTCTCCTGCTTCCTCTCGGGCGCTGTTGCTGCTGCCTGTGCTGCTGTTGCTTGTGCTGCTGCTGCTGCTGCTGCTGCTGCTGCTGCTGCTGCTGCTGGTGTCGCCTGCCACCGCATCCAAGGAAGCAACTGGCTGCTCAGCGCACAAGCTGAGAAGGCGCTAGATCGCTGCTGCTGCTGCTGCTGCTGCTGCTGGCGAGCCCTAGGGCTAGCAGCAAATCGCGGGGAGTATGCAGAGGATTGGGAGCCTCGGCTGTCTCCCCAGCTGAGTCGCTGCCGCTGCTGCTGCTGCTGCTGCTGCTGCTGGTGCAGTCGGTGGTATTCTGGCTGTTGCTGCAGCTGCAGCTGACCCTCGCGTGGGTGCTGGTGCCTTTGCTGTTGCTGCCGTGGCCTCTGCTGCTGCAGCTGCTGCTGCTGCTGCTGCTGCTGCTGCTGCTGCTGCGTAACAGCAGCGTGCCAGGTGACCAGACCAGCCCTTGCATTTGCCTGAATTAAACCTCCCCGGGCTGTCCCTCTTCTGCTGCTGAAACTTGGGCGCGGGCGCGCCACGGTTGGCTGCTGCTGCTGCTGCTGCAGTTGCTGCTGCAGTTGCTGCTGCTGCAGCTGCTGCTGCTGCAGCTGCTGCTGCTGAGGCGGCTGCAACAGCTGCTGCGGCTGCGGCTGCTGCTGCTGCTGCTGCTGCCGATCAGGTGGCGGCGGTGGAGGTGGTAGCGCCGTCGCTGCGGCTGGTGTTGCCGTGGGTGCTGCTGCTGTGCCTGCTGCTGCTGTGCCTGCTGCTGTTGCTGCTGCTGGAGTAGAAACTGCTGCTGCTGCAGCCGGTGCTGTTGAACCTGCTGCGGGGACGTAGGGCAGCATAATCGGAAGCAAATTTGTTCCGTGTTGCTGCTGCTGGCCTTGCTGCTTCACTCGTGGGACTTGCAGCGCCTGCTGCTGCTGCTGCTGCTGCTGCTCTTGAAGCCGCTGGCTTTGCTGCTGCTGCAGTTGCTGTTCCCTTAAGCCCCTTTTTGCTGCTTCATTTCTCTCTGGGGCTCTGCTGTCTCCGCTTGGGAAGCCAGCACCAAGCGGTTGTGCTGCAGGAGCAGCTGCAGCCGGAGCACCAGATGTGGCTGCGGCAGCAGCAGCAGCAGCAGCAGCAGCCGCAGTTGCCGAACCAGCAATAATTGTCCCGTCTCCCGGGTGCTTTTTCGAAGAGGGAGGGATGGAGCGTGGGTGTTGCTGCTGCTGCTTGTTTTGCTGCTGAGGTTGCAGCAGCTGCTGCTGCTGCTGCAGCGGTACTGCTGTTGCAGCAGCTGCAGCGGGTGCTGTTGCTGCACTTGCTGTTGCTGCTGTTGCTGCAGGTGTTGTTGTAGCTGCAACGGCTGCCCCTGTTGCTGCTTCCTGCCTAATAAATACTCCTTTTGTTTGGGGCGGAGGCAGTCCTGCTGCTGCTGCCGCTGCAGGCTCTACGAAGGCTGCTGTTAGTGCCTGCCCCTGCTGCTGCTGCCGCTGCTGCTGTTGCTGCTGCTGCTGCTGCTGTTGCAGGCGCCGCTGCCGTGTTGTGGCGAACCGACCTCTCCCGCGCCAGTGGCCCCTGCTACTACTGCTACTGCTGCTGCTGCTGCTGCTAGGCACTTCAGCTGCAGCAGCTGACGGGCCAGGCGCAGCAGCAGCAGCAGCAGCAGCAGCAGAAGCGGCGCCCGGACGCTCCTTCTGCCGCACCGGCACAATTAAAGAGGCAGCTGACCACGAATGACCTGCTGCTGCTGTTGCTGCTGTTGCTGCTACTGCTGCTGGCTCAGGTGCAGTAAGGGGCCCTGTTGCTGATCGTGGCTTTCGTGCGGCTGCTGCTGCTGCTGCTGCTGCTGCAGCCGGCGCTGCGGCAGCTCCACCAGTTGGCTGCGTTCGTCCTTGAATGCCAGACCCACCTGCAGCAGCAGCAGCTGCTGCTGCTGCTGCAGCGGCAGGGGATGCAGCGCCTCCTGGAGCAATTATAGCGCACCCCGGCTGCACATTTGGTGCAAATGCAGGCTGCGCTGCTGCTGCTGCTGCTGCTGCTGGTTTGTGGTGTTCCCCTGCATCTGCTGCAGCATTCCCTCTGCCGGAGCCCCGGCGGGGTCTTTGGCCTTCAGACATTAGCAGCAGTGGCCTCTAGCGCCAGTTGCTGCTGCTGCAGCAGGTGTCAGTGGGGCTGCTGCTGCTGCTGCTGCTGCTGGTGGGGGTGGAGTGCAAGGACGGAGGCAGCGGACTGGT